CCCGAGATATTCCCCAATGAAACGCTAAAATGTGATTAAAACTGCGAGCTGTTGAGTGCATTAACGTCCAGTCACCGGTTTCTTCCGTGCAGTTGCTGGTTCTGAATTTTGAGACTTTGTTGTTGTTTGCACCAAAGAAACTGTATGAATACATTCTCTTATTCGTCCTTCTGTCTCGACGTGTTGGCGCGCTCCACCGGGAAAACTCGGGTCCTCGTGATAAACCTCGTTACCAGATGTCCACAGACAAATAAAACTTTGTATTTCCACAGACATATTCATATATCTTTTATAAAATAAATCTTGTATTTCCAAGTGTACAATAATAAAATGATGCACTCTGCAGAAAAAAAGGAAACTCCATATATACACACAGTATACTGTTTTGGCAGACAGAAACATGGACAAGTTCAGTATTGTAAACAGCTCTTTACTCCCATTCACATGTGTTCGTCTACCATTTATTGACTTCTCCCGTCGGCTTGTTGTTCCTCCTGTCCCGTTACATTCATACAGTAAATCCAGAAAATTGTGCTTTAGGAAATCTCTTACAACAATCCGCGGCTTTTTTTTCCTTCATATCTTTTCTTAACACCTGTTCTGCTGAGTAGAAGTGCACTGTCTCCAAACAGTAGCTGAATGTCTTAAACAGTCTGGTGGCTGGTAGTTCACTCATCTCTCCTGGTTCAGTCAGGAGAGTTGGGGTTAGAGGAATGGCAGCAAACTTGTGCAGTGGCGTGGAGGACGTAGAGATCTGAGCTTGATGACTGGGAAGATTTGGTGGCACATGTGCAGCAAATGCTCCATTATAATTTACCAGTTATCTAGACTTGAATTAACTTGCAGTGAAGCCGTTTGGTGAACTGAGCTCGTGCCTGGAAAAGTGATGGCAGAAGTTAGAGGTTAAAGCTGCGCTTGGGATGCGGGAATGTTTGTGATGGAATGTGAAGAAACACTAGCGTGCACGGAGCAGTGATGTCTGGGTAAAGACACGGACTGGTGAAGGAGCAAAGCTTTGGCTTTTGAGCTCAGGAGGCAGGAACAGAGTGGAGGTCTGAACGTGGGCGTCAGGTCTGCGGGTCTAGTTGTCCTCGTCCGTCAGCTCCTCCTCCGCGACGGCCTTCTCCGGGATGGCCTCGAGGCTGCATCTGCTCCTGGACTCAGAGCCGAAGGAACC